TTTCCTCACGTGTCCAATGGCTCTGGCCACGCCACTCACAGCCTAGCGCTGACCCATAACCACCTGACTACTTGTCTGTCTCCCAGGCCAGAGGCCGAGCTTGCAAGTACAGACCCTCTTTGAACCTGACTTTCCCTTCCAAGTTTCTTGTCCAGGGTGAGCCATTCAGAAGATGCTGAATAAATGTCTGTTGCCTGAATGGAGCTGTACGTCTCGCTCCCTCGGATTTCCAAAGCCGCAAATAATACAGGTGCTCACGGGTTAAGGGACTTGCTGCCCAGGGTCTCGCAAGCCCAGCTGGGATGCAGCAGAACTTGAACTCTGGATGCAGGATGCAATCGCCATGGCTTTCTAGAAAAAGAGCTCCTCCGTCTCTTGGCCCTCACTCCTGACCAGACAGATCTGACCTGGCCAACTGCAAATCTGGCAGGCAGCTCATCCTGGGGTTTGAATGAGCCAAGCCTTTCTTATCTTAATTAGGAAATTAATTCCTTTCAGCCTAGATTGATCTGTGCTCAGCCTCTCCCTGGGGGCCCAACAGGAGCAGGCAGAAAATAAGCAAGTCTGAGTCTGAGTTTCCATCCTATCCCCACTACCTACTCTGACGGGAGGGCCGCTGACAGTCCAAGGTGACTTCCTGGCAGACAGAGGTGGGTGGGGAGCGACAAAGGGGTCCTCCCTTGGGCAGCCGCCGACACAGTTCTCCCACGGCCCTGCTCAGCCCCCGCCTACCGCCTCCTCGCAGGAGGAGCCATCAGACTGGTCTTGCAGGCGCCTCCTTGGCAAAGTGCTGCGTGCAGAAGGCAGGGAGCCTGGCGTCCTCCTCTGTCCCCCTGGGCTCCCTCAAGATCCCTCTTGCCCCCTAGGAAGTCTCTGTCCGTCTCTCCTTTCAGAGGTGGCCCTAGGCTCTATGCCCAGGGGACACTCCGCAGGCGAGGTCTCACCCCATCTGTTCCGGGCTGGGTGGGGGGTGTCAATTTAAGTGCTCCCACACCTGCTGCCCTTCACACCTGGGCCCTAAACTCCAAGGCAGTGGACAGAGGCAGGGGAGTTACTGGGAGTTACTGGGGAGTTACTGGGAAAGTCTGACTCAGTTTCCACTCACCAAGAAAGGAAAGGAAATGGGGCGCCTGCCTACTACACCACTTTCATTCTACAGGTGGAAAAATGAGGGCCCAGAGACGGAAGGTGACCTGCCCAAAGGCCAACAGCACCCATCAGAGGCGGAGCTGGACCTAGGACGCCAGATTCCTGCCTTCTAATTCAGCCCCTCTGCACTCTACCGGCCACCTCTCCCTCTTCCTGCCCAAGAAAGCTATGCAAGTAACTCAAGCCTTATAAAACTACTTAATACCAGAGGACACAAGACCTTTTGAGATTTTACAGCAAGACATTTAGTAGAAGCATTGTACCGAAGAACATCCACCCATTTTACAGAAGAGCAAATCGAGGCCCATGGAGGTAAGGGGACCTACAGGAAGTCGTACAGCCAGGTAGGGGCAGAGCAGGACTCCCAGACCCCCACTTAAGTGCTCTTTCTGCTGACACGGTCCAGGTGTGAAGGTTCCATCTGTGGGATAGCTGGTGAAGAGGTGCAGCTGGCCTTGGGCCTCAGTGACGCTGAAACAAGGTGCGGCCCAGAGAGCCTCATCTAAACTCTGTCCCAGAGGTGCAGGAGACCATCGTTGGGGGAGGGAATGGCTTGGGAGATTTTTATGTATTTGCAGAAAATACAGTGAAATTTCTCAACTAAGCTGGATTTCTGAGTCCACAGAGCTGGCACTTTTAAAAACAGGTTAGTGAGCCACACACGCCTACCATTTTTCATCCAAAAGGTCACTGACAGGGCTGGGAAGGAAAGGTTTAGCAGTAAGAAAGAACAGCGTCTACTGGCACCAGAGGGAGGGGGCAGGGTGGGTGCAGGTGGCTGGGACCCCAGGAGAGGGCTGACCACAGACACATAAGTAACATCTGAACCCGAGTCCAGTACAAAGAGCCCATGCTCCTCCCCCCATCCCCCAACCTGGTGCTGAAGAGACTTAATAACAGGGAACCCTCCCATCCCTGAGCCCTCTCTCTGCCCTCCATCCCACAATCCCCCCTCCATGCTCCTAACAGCTAAGGGAACTGGAGTAAGTCTGGCAAGGTGAGTGCCTGAAGGTGACAGGTATCAGCTTTAGCTACATATTAGATTGGGGTGGGAGCAGTGCTGCTCAGGGGCCAGATGGTCTAGGAAAGGGGGTGGAACCTACAGGGGACGCTGGGCTGACTTCCATCACCTGGGGACAGACCCAGATTCCTAAGGGAAAAGGCCTGCTGGGATGCTGTGAGTAAAAGCTGTGGATGCATACACTCTCCCCACCCCTGCCCCTAGCTGTCCCAACTAAGTGTTTTCTGGCTGGGAAAATGCTTCAATAGCCCTGGTTGCCTAAGGCAATTCAATTATGAAATTTACCACATCAGATGAAAAGGAGCATCTCAATCAGCCAATTCATTTGTGTCTGGCCACTCTGTCTTCTTGTGCCCTCCGTTTTCAGGCCACACCCACACTGAGGGCTGGTACCGTGGCACTAAGGGCTCAGGCAATGGGCTGGTGTTTGGGGCTGGTGGGGTGGGGTCTCCCATGATCCCCTGAGCAGATCGGCTGTATCCAGAAGCCACCCATCCTCCTGGGGGACTCCTGGGCCAGACCACCACAGTCCCAGGTGAACCTTTCCATCAACTCCCACCTGCATGCTCTCTGCCCTCAACCTGCACCTGCCTGGAGGCTGGCAATGAAGTGGCCTCTGGGAGAAGTGTGAGTGGGTGGGGGGAGGTGGTAGCCCACCACATGCCTTTCTCATCTTTACTTAATCAAGGCATCATCTCTCCAGGAAGCCTTCACCACCCGCGCACCTCCTGTGTCCCCTCAGCTCCCCTTGCTGCCTTTGTTACTGGGGTACTGTGCACACCTCGATGTGTCAGGGCCTCTAAGCCACACGCATGCCAGCACACCTGGTCCAGGAGCTCCCCGAAGGCAGGGTCCCAATCAAGCCCCCTCAAACCATGAATCAATTAATCGGTTAATGAATGAATGAACAAACCACCACTCCCTTTGACCACCCCCCCCCCCCAACCGTGCATCACGGTAATAGATGGGAAGAACCAAGCCTGCTTTCGCTGCAGACCAGGAAGTCCAAGGCCCGGGTAATCGTCCTCTTTCTTCCTGCTCTCCTCTCCCACACTGAGCGCCCACAGGTTTAAGATGTTATTAAGGGGCATCAGGCTGCAGAAGCCGCCTCTGAGGTGGAGTGTGCCAGTCGCCCGCGGCTCCTCTCTCTGCACCACATACACAAATCCGGCTGCAGCCTAAGCCCCGGGAGGAAGATCTCTACCATTTCTCTCTACCTTCCTTTGAGTAACCTGCATGGAGTCACTTCCTGACAAAGGGAATGGCTCAAGACGGAGATAGCTGCCGGGCACAGAAGACTGATTCCGTCATCCTCCAAAGGCACGGCTTGGGGACTCAAGGACCCCGTGTTAGAAGGACACCAAACCTGCCCCCGGTGGGGTGGACCTTGGGTCCTACTCCTCCCCAGTCCCCAAATGCAAGCCTTCACCAACACCCCCTTAGCAATACTAACAGCACACCTGGGCTCAAAGAGCATCGGTCCCACCTGTGAATGGGCAGACTGAGGCCCAGGGTCCCAAAGGGCCTGAACCAAGTCAGAGTCACCAGAGTCTGGCCTGTGATCAGACTGTGGGGTTCCTGCCTCCTCTCCCCCTGGCAACTTCCCTCCCTCAGTCACGCCGCCAGAACCAGAGTGAAACCAAAAGGCCCAGACACCTAGCCTTCTCTGCCCTGACTCACCAGGGAGGGCCAAAGCTCAGGGAGCCTTCCCCCTGCCCAAAGCAACCCAGCAGGACCAAGAGTGGCTGCGTTAAACCTGCGGGGGACCTGGGTCGGCCCCCACCCCACCCCCTTTGTTAAGATCTCTATAAAGATTTCTCTGTTCAAAGACAGTGGAAATGAACTTTGGGCTCTTTGAAGCACCAGCACAAAAATGTCTGGTGCCCCTGGGGGCACAGAGTCCCAACCAGAAAGCTTCTCAAGCAACCACGAGGGAAAAAAGGAGTAGGGGGCGTGCCCAAGTGCTGCGGGGTCCCGGAGCCAGGGCAAGATGGGGTGAACAGGACAGCCAGGGCCAGAGAAGGCTTGCTCTGGACCTGCTAGGGTGGCGGCCACCCTGGGGGGCAGGTGGGCAGGGCTTAGGACGGGTGACCATTCCTCTGCTGCTCCACAGCTCTCTAAACAGAGACGAGGGGCCCTGTCAGGTGGGACGTAAACGGCCGGGCCACAGGAGACTCCGGGCCGGGCTCGCGTGGACGACCTTTCCCTTGGTTAAAACCCTCGGCCCTCGCTCTGCACGAGGCAGGCAGCCATCTGGCCCTCGGCGTCAAGTGCGCGGGGACTTCGCCCGGCCCGCGGCGCAAAGCCGGACTGCTCACATCCTCAAAGACAGGCAGCCTCCACTTTCCAGGATCGATAGTAATTTTTTAAAAAGAGAGTCTGCGGACTCAATGAATCAAGCACTCCCAGGGGAAAGAGTTGCAGCTCCCGCGCGCAACATCCATTTGCAAAACAATTCATTCTCTCGCTCAAGAGCTTTCAGCAAATATCCTCGCCGGGTCCCCCGGCACTCGCGAGGAGGGAGGAACGGGGTTGGGGAGGAGACGGCTCTCTACAGACCTCCACTCCCCACCATTGTCCCCGACTCCAGCCCTCCGAGACCCCGAGGTGGCCGAGGCGGTTCCAGACACTCGACCCCGCTGTGCTGCTCGCGGGGCACGCGGTCCCGCGAGGCTCACTCTGCCGGGGGCTCCCACGGCGGGGCGCGCAGGACCCGGCGCTCCCGATCCCGGCGCGGGGTGAGGGGTGGTGACAAGTGCCAAAGCCGGCGGCCGGGCGCGCGGCTAAACCGGCCCGAGGACGGCGCCCCCAGCCCAGCCCGGGTACTCACCACTCGGGGCGTCGCCACCCGCCGCGCTCAGAGGCCCCTAGCCGCCCGCGCGAGGCTCCGCAGCCCTCGCCGCCGCTGCTCCCCTCCCCCAGCTCGCAAAAGCCGCTGAGCGCGTTGCTACTGAGGTACAGCCGGGGCGCCGCCAACAAACTAGTTTCTCCGGCCTTCCCGCCCCGCCTCCCGGCCTGAAGCCAATCAGAGGCGGCGCCTCTGTGACGGATGGGCATCCGAACCCGTAGTTAAGCCAGCAAGAGGAGAAAGGGGTGGGCGCTGGGCTTCCCCAGCACCGCGACTGGGGGGGGGGGCAGGGGGAGAAAAAGGACTTCGACCAGATTCTTAAAGGGGCAGGCCCCTGCCCGCCCCCGCGGCCGAAGTTTGCGAACAAAACCCGACTGTGTTCCAGAGCTTTCCGAAGGAGGGAGCTCTGTAGATTGCAAATGCGTCTTCTGTACCTGGTCTGCGGAGACACACCTTTCACCTAGTTGTGAAAGTGTTAAGGAAACCGTTTCTTTTTATTTTGAGCTCGTTTCAGTGTTTGGGATTTTCTTCAGCCACTGAACCCCATCTGTGCTTGGAATATGTATTTAGCTCTCCTACCAGTGTCATTTCTCACTAAGTTCCTTTGTAAGCCGACCTTCAAATATTCATTCATTCATTCATCCATTCATTAATTCACTCCACAAATATTTGCTGGATGCCTGAGCGATGGGCTAGTCTCAGAGTGGGGAAAATTATCTATAATTTCTCCTTCTTGCTTTCTGAGTTTGCAACTCATTCCACCACTTCAGGTTGCTGTATATCTAACTTCATCTGTAACGTGGCAGGTAAAAAGTCCTCATCGAATTATCTGAGGGATTAAAGGAGACAAACTCCTATGACAAAGTAAGTGTGCAACAAATGTCCTTTCTTTCCTCCCTCCCGCTGAAAATGGATAATTCAGGTAGGATACAAAAAGGATGCAAAAAGCCCTGGTAAAGTACAGAAAATGATAAGTGTTGTAAGAGCCAAGCATGGGGTGGGGAGAATTCCCAGGAAGCACAGTTCACACTGATGGGAGGTGCAAGGAAGTTTATTGGGGAGGTGATTCGACTGCCCAAAAGATTTGGATGAGGTGTAGGATTTTGACTGGTGGAAACTGGAAAGGAGAGCCCATGGGTAGGAAGCTGTTTAGATTGGACAGAAGAGATTCCAGGCTTAAAAGTCTGTAAGATGACAGGGAAGACACTAGGCATTTTGGGGAGAAACAGCATGGTACAGAGGAAAGGGTTTGAATCCCAGCTCTACCCTCAAGAGCTGTTTAGGACTGGAGGCAGAGTGCTCAGGCTCTCTGGGTGTTGGATTCTTACTGGTGAAAGGAAGATGCTAGAACCTATTTTGCAGGGTTATTGTAAAGATTAGATAAGAGCACGCATGTAATGGGCCTGGTACCTAATAAGTGCTCAATATAGATTTGTGTCTCCATTTGGCCTAGATCTGGAGATGGGTAAGACACAATGTTTCTGTTAGTCAAGAGCAGTCTTGGCCAGAGGTAAGAAGCTAGCCAAGTGTGCTGCTAAGGTGCCTTCCAAGGGGAAAAGGAGGCATCAAAATAATTGGTCCATTAAAGAAATGACATAGATCACATTTGTAATTTTAGCCTCCTGCCAATTTTCTAGAGCTTGAGTATTTATATAATTGTTAGTTGGATGAAGCTCCACATACCAAATTGATTCTTAGCAAGTTCATAACCATTGCTTATTATTCCATTGAGACTCTCTGTGAAATTATAAGTGCCAACCATCTAAAACCTGGTCCACATTATCATTTTTTCCCCTCCTCAACTCCAAGCTTAAATTAGGTACTGGAATAAATTAAAATTAAATGTAGGCAAGGGAACAAAATCAGACCAAGAACACTTGTTGAGTCATTGAATTTAGATATGATTTGAAAGGAATGGAGAGGACGGAGCTTGCGTTGCCATCTGTCTCAGTTCTCGCTGTAGACCCTGGAGCACAGCCACCATCATAGCCCCTACCAGCCAATGCTGTAATGACCCATGTACCTGTTAGCCCTCCCCACCACACAGGGAGTCCTGGGAGGGCACAGACCATGACAAGCTGTGTAGGCAACTTGGTTCCTCACACAAGTTGTGCACACAGTTTTGAAAACCTATGAATAAATCTCAGATCAGTTAGAATCAGATTTTGCAACATTATGACAGAGGACCTAAAATAACTGTGAATTTTAAAAAGACAGAAGTTTGTTTCTTGCTCATGAAAAATAAATCTAAAGTTAAGTAATCTATGACTAGTTGGCAGCTCCACAGTTTTAAAGAGCATGGACTCCTGTACTTCCATTCTGCCATCCTTAATGCTTGGTTTCCTTTTGCTGATGCCTCATGATTCAAGATGGCTGCTGGAGCTCCAACTATAACATCTATCTTTCATACAGCAGGAAGGAATAAGAGTAGAAGAGCAGATGTGTGCCTCCCAACCGTGTTAGCTCCATTGAAGCAAGCTGCAAAAGTCCCACATGATACTTCCATTTATATCTTATGTAGATGTTTATATGAGTACATTGCCTCTCCAAACAGAGTCAGGTTTCTTTTATCAAGAAAGAGGGAAGAAATTCCTGGTGTCAACGAACAGTCTTGGCCCACACCTTTTTTTCCCCTCCTGGCATTGCCATCTGTCCCGTATTTCAGTAGTTCAGAATCTAAGGTCTTAGAAATTCTGAGGTGATGTTCAGAATTCAATACATATTTGTTAATAGATGATTGAATTCTTGGTTCTTCTACCTCTCTGGATGTTCCTTTCCAGTCTCCTCTGTTGATTTCTGCTCACTTCCCAGATTTCCAAATATTGGAGTGCCTGGGAAGTGAGTGCAGATAAAAAAAACCTCTTCCCTCTGTACACTCAGATCTAGGTGATTTCATCCAGGCCCATGCCTTATGCTCAGATAAACATAAGACAGCTCCCATATCTGTACTCCCACCAAAATTCTCCAGGAACTTCAGGCCCACAGGTGCATCTGCTTACTCGACACCTCGGCTTGGATGTCTAGGGACACCTCCTCACCTTAGCACGCCTCCATTGAGCTCCCGCTGCACTACTTTGCAAAAGACATCCTGCTCCTTCAGTGGGCTTCCCTATCTCAGGAAAGGACAACTCAATCTTTTGCTAAAATAAAAAATCTTGGCACCATTCTGTTTTACCCTACCTCCAATCCATGTCCAGTCCGAGCACTTCATACCACTGTATCTGCCACCACCAAGCTGGTCCAAACCACCATCATCTCTCCTCCCCTGGGCCATCTCAGCAGCCTCCTGAAGCATTTCCCATCTCTGCTGCCTAGAGTCCAGTCTCAAAAGCAGCCAGAGGGGACTTTTTATAATATAACCTGACTGTGTCCATTGTCCCTGCAAAATCCTCCAATGGCTCCCATCTCACTCAGAATGAAGGCCAAATTCTTCACATTGGCCAACAGGCTTGACCCCATCTGGCCTGGACCACCCCTCACACTTTATCTTCCACTGCCCTGCCCCTCACTCACTCTGCTCCAGGCCCACTGACCCCCTATTTTTCTTTATAAATTTATTTATTTTCTTTATTTACTTTTGTCTGTGTTGGGTCTTTGTTGCTGCATGCGGGCTTCCCTGGTGGCACAGTGGTTAAAAATCTGCCTGCCAATGCAGGAGACACAGGTTCGAGCCCTGGCCCAGGAAGTTCCCACATACCATAGAGCAACTAAGCCCGTGTGCCACAACTACTGAGCCTGTGCACCTAGAGCCCGTGCTCCGCAACAAGAGAAGCCCCCTTCAAACAAGCCAAACCCACTCCCACTGCGGAGGCCTTTGCTGACTCTAGCCAGGAAGCTCTTCCCCGGATGTCCACGTGGTTCTCTCCTGGCTTCCTCAAGTTTCTGCTCAGATGCTACCTTCCCTAAGGCCTCGCTGACCACCTGCTTCAAAGTAACCACGTTCCCCACGCTGGCAACTCCTAGCCCTCTCTATCTCCAAAGCACTTACTTCCACCTGAAGTTACGTATATATTATATACAGAGTGAGAGAGAGCTTGACAGAGAAGCAGCCTTGACATCTGGGAGCTGGCCCTGCCCGCACAGCTAGGCTTTGCTCTTCACCCGTTGAATGGAAACAATTTAGTAGGATGTCACCATCAGACAAGGTCCCTCTGTGACCACGACGTGTCAAGACAAAAACAAGATCATTCCGTTATCACGTCTGAACACAGCAAAACATGAGAATTGTCCAAGCCACAAAATACCCAAATCTGTGTCTCCTGGGTAATAGGAGTGACTGCTGTTTCTTCATTAAATACAGCTTTGACCTCCATCTGGTCTCCCTCCTTTTACGTGAGATTTACTAAGATACCCTATCATAGACTCATCATTGCTTTCTGGCAGCACCCAATCCAGGTCAAAGCCCCACTTTCTTAGGCCCTGTCCCACACCACCCAGCCAAAGTCCAAATCCTGTTCTACCTTCTTCCTAACACCCTTGTGCTGAGGTGCCCTCGGTTCCCCTATGGTGTGTGGGCTCCTTTGTTGCAACAAGTAATAAACCCAACTTGTTCATCTATAGGTATTCCTGGTTGACAGTACAAATACACAAATATTGGCAGTACAAACACACACACACACACACACACACACACACACACACTTTATTTGGTGTGGGAGGATCTGATTGGCTGCCTGCTCTCCCAGGATGTAAGTTCCACGAGAACAAGGGTTTGTATTCACTGCTCCATTTCCAGACGTAGAACAGTGCCTGGCTCATAGGAGACTCTCCATACATATGTATTCAATCAATTCAGAATGAATTGCAGGTAGTTTTAGGGGCAGTATTAGCCACCATGAAGTCAGTAGTTTCTGATCTCAGTGTTGGATAAATTCAATCAAATCTTCCATTTTTGGTCAAGCTCCCCCGAAATGGCGGGTCAGGTGGGGCCCGCCCAGGGCAAGGCTGTGGCAGGAGATGGCTTTGTCAGCTTTGGTTCCCAAGGGAGAGGCTGGGAGGCGATGACTGTCCTTCTGAGGGAGCAGCTGGGATCAAGGTCACTGGTGAGTCATCACTTCAGCTATGGGTGCACAAAGGAGAAGGGCAGGGCTGTGGCGGGCAGCGACAGAAGCT